GAACTTTAGATGTTTAAAACCCTTCAGTTCAGCACAAAAGTGAGTACACGCTGACCAAAGGTGTGTTCAGCAAGAAGATGAATGCTCTGAAAACCAGGGGAGAAATTCCAGTGCTGCATACCTGTGATAAATGTATTCTTTACCAGTTACTTTCATTGATTCAAGCATTCGTTTATATTATTTTGAGTAACAATTTCTAAATTAGTAAAGATGTGAGAGATTGCAACTATATGAATATTCATCATAAGCTTTCCATTTGTTCAAGAATGGTTCTCTTGTTCAAAGCTCAGTACAGAAATGTTCTTATGGACAAGGCAGAGCATCTTTGTAGACTGATGGGAAATCACCAAAAACTGTGAAATAAAGGGGATTAGCTTTGCTGCATAAAATCTTCTGAGTACTTGAATCAAAACCTATGATTTGGTACTACATCAGAAAGTAAAATAAGTTAAACTGACCTTTATAAAAAGCTGTTATTCTAAGTTATTTTACTAGGAATCAAGCTAGGGCACCTTAATTCTGGAACTAATTACTTTTTTTTTTTCCTTCTTAGTATCTGAGTAAACACCAATAGAACTTGAACTGTTGAAAATATTTGCATGAAATTGCACCTGGGCCAATGCTCATGTATTTATAGTTTTGCCCAGCAGCTGTTGTATTACATTTTCCTCTTCCTAGTCCCTCCTGAAAATATCCTCAAAAGTCTCTGACTCTGTGCCTACTTCAGCAACGAGATTTTTTTCATGTAAAGATGTTTGTGCTACTGTTTATAAACTACAGTTGTAAATAAACCAGTACAATTTGAACATAACTTGTTCTGTCAGAAGGCATTTAGTTGCATACTGTGTAAATTCTCTGAATCAATTAAAAGTTTTTCCTAAAGGTGTTTTGTTAATGGAAGTGAATTTGATCTTTGGAGTGGAAGACGCTGATTATGGATCATAGGGAGCTACTGCCAGTGACTTCTTAATGTAAGTATTTCAGAATTTAAGTTAATTTCATTAAGGACTTTTGGGTGAGCATTCACAGAAAGGTCAAAGTGAATTCACAGATAATCAAGTTATAGAAAAGGTTTCTGCATAAATTCCAGACTTCTCAACGTCGTATTTTTGTTATGAAAATGCTGACAGAATGATACAACATATTTCTCCTAGTCGGAAGGGGAAAAGTGAAAATGACACTCAGTTGTTAAACAGGTGTATTTGAGTATTAAATGTGGAACGTGGCTAATGCGTATGCTGCACTGTGAGGACAGGAAATACAGCAGGCCTTTGAGATCTACAGCAAGTAAAGCAACAGGAAGTCAGTTCTTAAATCCTTTCTCTGTAGAAACATATAATCCAAGCCATTTAGAGGCTAATTATTTGTAAATTTTAGGGCAATGTACAAGTTAACAACAGACCTCTTATCTTAAAAAGCTCAGCCCAAATTATGAATAGTTTCAATGGTGCTGGTGTATCTCTACCCACAGTTTAAGGGCCACTTTTGCCTTATATTGTACATACCTGTAGTTACTGTTTTTGTTACAAAACTTGTATTACTAAGCGGGAATTCTCATTATAGTACTGCAGTGATATTTTTTAAAAAGAAAAATCAAAAAAGTTGGTATGCTACTTCCTGTCTCTTTTAGCTTCAATGATTTTTTAAAAATTATATTTGCTAGAGATGTGTTGGCTCTTGTTTTATTCTGCATGCACCACGGTCTATATTGTTGACTATAAGGTGACAGTTATGATGCAGGAGTGACAGAAAGGAGGTCTGGAGTAGGAAAGAAAGTCTTGGAGTAAACTTCCCTGCCAAATGAAAGCTCTTACCTTTGTGTCATAGTGAAAGTTGGTGTTTCTGTGCTCACTGTGCTCACTTCTGTTCTTCACTTTTCTCACAAATTCTTTTGCATTGTGATTTGTATGAGAATTTTTAAAGAACTTTACATGTATTACCCACCAAAAATACCGTTGATGGCACAGTTGCAATTTTTAAAGTTGCCTTTTCCTGTTAGCCCTAATACATGGGTCTCACCTGTGATTGGATCTTTTCCTTCCTCCTACATGTCAGCTGTAGTTTCAAAACCAGGTACTGCCAAATAAGCTTTTTCAATATAGGTGTAGTCTACTGAGCGTGTGAAAAGTTTCCCTTTAGGGAAGGAAAAGGGTGGTATTATGTAACTTGTTCTACTGGGTATACTTAGTGCTTTCAGATACTTTTATATGGAAACTTGAAAAATACATTTTATCTCTCTGACCCATGGGAAACTGGATTTTTGGCCTGTGCTTTGCCTCTTCAAGAGATGATACTACTTGATTTCTTACTCTTTTTCTTATTTGGGAATAAGTTGGGGGACAGCTGTTCTTTGCACCTGGAGCCCTTCAAAGTGTGATGTTTGGGGAAGAAAAAAATTTTTTAAATCACATGTACTCATTCTACCAACATGGGCATGTATAAAAAGGAGGGAGGCCTGCTAAGGGCTGCTGCACTGTCTGTTCTGCCATCCTTTGGCTTGGTGAGATTGGGATAAGTGGTTCCCTTTACTGCTCCAAGGGGCAGGTTGAACAGTTCTCTGGTTGAAGGAAGGTTTGTAATTGTTACACGCAGTAGTGGTTGTGCATTTTACAGTGGTTATGCACTTCCCATCTTTTGTCTCTCTGCGTGTTTCCTGAAAGGGGAGGTGTTTAAGAGATTGGGTAAAAATAAAATGGGTAATCCAGGGTGATCATTCTGCCATTATGTGCTTTCAGCTTACAGAATAATCTTGTATGCTACACCAAATCTACAATTCTACAAACATGCTTCTAAAAAGCCCAGGGCTGGAAAATATGTACATGAGACAGCAATGTTTTGTGCTGAGTAAAGGGGAGCACTTGGTGTTTAAAACCAAGGAAGAGCAGCATGGTACTTAGTGTGTTGGTTTCACAGAATTGGCAGTGTTGGACAGGACCTCTGGAGCTCATCTAGTCCAAGTTCCCTGCCAAGGCAGGGTCACCTAGAGCCGGTAACACAGGAACCTGCCCAGGTGGGTTTGGAATGTCTCCAGAAAGGGACACTTCACTGGACAGCCTGTTCAGTGCTCTGCCACCCTCAATGTAAGGAAGTTCCTCCTCATGCTGAGGTGAAACTTCGTGTCTTAGTTTATGGCCATTGCTCCTTGTCCTGTCTCTGGGCACCACTGACATTAGTCTGGCACCATCTTCTTTGAGATGTTTATATGCACTGATGACATCCCCTCTCGGCCTTCCCTTCTCTGGACTAAACAGGCCCAGCTCCCACAGTCTCTCCTCATAAGAGAGGTGCTCCAGACCCCAAATCATTTTTGTAGCCTCCACTGCACCCTCTCTAGTACTCCTTGTCTTTCTGGTTCTGAGGAGCCCAGAACTGGACACTGCTCTGCATCTGGAGCACTGTGCATGTATTTGTACCTTGGGGGATGCTGTTCTTGTAAAGAAAGAGGGGGATGTCCCAGGTGAACGAGTTACCTGTAAACTCTTACAGGTCCCTTGCATGAGCCCTTAGCAGACTGCCAGGGTTTGTTGGGCAGGGCAAGCAGCTCTCTGCACAGCAGGAGCTTTGGGGGCTCCGCTGTTGCTGCCGGCGCTGAACGGGCCCGGGGGGAGCGCTGCGCGCTCGCTGCCACCCAGGCAGGGCGGGGGTGCCTCATCCCTGCTCTTGGCCGCTCAGAACGCGGTCCCGGCACCAGCCGGGCGCTGGAAGACGGCGTGAGGAGGGTTCTGGATAGGCCGCGGCCCGGGGCCAGCACTGCGAGTCCCGGCAGGCCCCGCGGGCCGCGCCCGCCCGGGCGGTGCCGGGAATGCGGGCGGCCGGCGGAGCCATGGCGTGTGAGTGGGAGCCTTTCCCGTCTCTCTCCTCCCGCGGTCCCGGCGCCCGCACCGCCGGGAAACGCTGCGCGGGCCGCTGTCCCGGGTGTCTCCCGGCCCCGGTGAGACCGAGAAAGGCCTCGGCGCTAGGCGCTGGCACACCCTGTGGAATAGTGCAGGGAGGAGAGAGCTGCGCTGGGCACAGACCGGGATACGGTGCTCGCCCTGCAGGGTCAGCTCCTCCAGAAACACGAGCGAACCGGGCGTGCTTCGCTTCCGGTGCTCTAAAACAAAAAAGCAAGCATGTTTTGTAGTGTAGTGGTACAAATGTGAACCATTATTTTACTCCGTTGCGCTTTTACCTGGTTGTGGCCTACATTACTTTGGGTTTATCCTGAGAATTGCTTTTAACGAAGGTTTTGGGTTTCTCTGCATTTCTATTGCTTCCACATCTGAATGTTTGTTAGCGAAACTGTGGCACAAATACGTGTGTTCTGTTGTGGCTGAGCTTCAGTTTTGTGCCTTATCGAACTTGAAACCTGAGACATATAATGTTATATTTATATATAGGAAAATAATATTAATTACCTTAATTACATTTCCTGGTGTTTTAACCATTATGGTGGTTTTTTTTTTTCCCTAGTGCCTTTTTTTTCGTCTTTTTTTTTTCTTTTACTCTGAAATGTAAATCTTTCAAGTGGGTGAACTAAAACACATTCCACAAATGCTGGGAAATTTTTGACAGATCCCTGGTATGATTATCTCGGTAGGTCTGGAACCTGTGGTTACATCTGTTCAGAATATCAGATGAGCTTTGTTTGCTCAATAGAGCCAACAGGCCAACAGTAAAAGTCTCTCCCCTGAGGAGTGGCAAAGGGAGCAGTTAATCGTTTGCTTAATCTCTAGAAATTAGCTGCTTAGCTACTGAAGTAGGAGCAAAGATGTATCTCAACTGCTCCGGATCTAGTCTCATCTTCACTTGAATCAGCTTTTCCAGTTTCCCTGACCACTGGGACTGTGTTGCTTCCAGCTTTGTCTTTTTCTTATTGTGATCTTTGACTGTATGATGGGGGAGTTTTCCCCCAGACAGGAGAGGTGCTATGAAACTGGGATACCTTTTTTTATAAAGCCAGTTGGTTGGTTTGTGTTTGTTTTAAAGAAAACAGTTCTACCTGATGATGATCAGAGTGTGTTTCCCTACAACCTGGGGTTCTCAGAGATTAATGGAAGGAAATACAAGGGGTTTGCACAAAACTTGGCTACTTGCAGAGCCTGCAGTTGTATATCCTGCTTAGTGGGAGTAGAAGCTGTTGATAACACTTGCAACTTGGCCAGAAACCAGTTTGCTAAGAAATGATCAGGAAAGATATTAACCTTTCTTGGTTTTCATAGCCATTTCCAAAACTAGGTGTGAATTTAGGGATAAAAGCAAACAATTCCTTTATTTGGTGCTTTGGGGATTATCCAGTCCTTTGATGTGCAACAAGAAGACTCCCACGTGCACGAAGCCTGGGAAGGAGGTGCTGGGGGGACCTGTGCTCTCCCTCTCTGCGACGTGGTTCCTTCCCCTCGAACATGGGCTGGGTGTTGCTGGCATGTGAGCTCTGTGATCTTTGCAGGGAGGTGGCCATGCATGGCTCCCATTGGCTTTCAGTGCTCTCCCTGTGGTAAGAGACTGTTTCCAGAGTCAGAGATAGGCTGCAGAATGAGTTGGTAGTGGTTTGTGCATATGTTTATATGTTAACTCATTTGTTTTCTTTGGTGCTTGTTACGGAATTCAAATTTGGAAGAGTTTCCGGTGGGAATTCTGATGAATAATTTTTTTCTTTTCTGCCATCAGCCTTCCGCCTTGCTCTTATCCAGCTCCATGTATCTGCTGTTAAATCAGATAATCTCCAACGAGCCTGTGGACTGGTGAGAGAAGCATCAGCTAAAGGAGCAAAACTTGTGGCTCTGCCTGTGAGTAAAGATCATGGCCTACTTAGCCCTTGTACTTCAAACCCTTCAAAACCTCTTTCTAGTGTTCTTAATGCAACATATATTCCTCTTCCTCCCTGGATAGCTTAGGTGCTGTATGAAGCTTTAAAATAAAACTAAAAGCTAAAAAACCCCAGGGGTTGTAGCTGGTAGCACACTAAGAGGTAGGGAGTGAAAAGGGAAACAAAAAACAGGTTGATCTTTTTTATAGTGTAAAATTCTGGTAAAGTTTTTGCTGGTTTAAATCCTAGGCAATGCCATCACTGAAATATTCTGAATTCAGGTAAGTGAGACTGTAGTTTGAATCTTTGCTGAAGAAGTGTAGAAAAAAGGCAATTTTCAGCTAAAAAATGTTGACATGAAGGTGAAAGAGGGTACACAGTAGCTCTCCTTGCTGTAAACATTCCAGACACATGAGAAACAAAATAGACTTAGAACATATTTCTAGCAGGTCATTTGTGGCTGTATAATGTTTAAGACACATTTCTCTTGAGACTTCCATGTGTGGAAACATAAATAGCCACTTAAAATGATCAATCACTTCTGATTTACTTTTTGCACTTTAGCCATAATTATTTTGCTGAATTTTCACATAGTGGGTGTGCTGACAACAGGGTGGGCTTCCCAGTGCAGCTTTGAGCTTTTCTCCTCTCTTCATGGGAGAACTTGTGTTACTCCTGTACATCTGACACAGGAGTGCAAAGTTCATCTCTGGGTGAACTTTGGGTCTCAGTTTTACACAAAAACAGAATGTTTTCTCTCCTGTTGTCATGGGGGAAGCGTTGAGCAACCTTCCCTGCTCCTCTGTGCTAATGTGGTTCTTGTGTTGCAAATGTGACCATTCAGTATTCTGCGTAGAGATTACCATTATTTACTGGTTTCATCATGTGTACAAGCATTGAATTTGCCAGACTTATTTAGCTGAGATACTCACTTTGCCAACAAAGATTTATGCTTTTAGAATACAAGTTGTGGAACATGGGCAAGGCATTTCACAGACTTTTGGGAGATACATTTTGTATAGACATTAGCATGGGCATGAAATATTGTCTTTCCATTGTTTTGTTTCTTTGGGGGTCTGTTTTTTGTTTTAATAACTTCATATAAAGGAAAGTAACTCATACTGGATATATGAAGATGGAGGCAGCTGGCTTTGCTTTCACTTCTTTGAAGTTCAGCCCAGATATCAAAAGCCTGGGAAGCTCATTTTGACAGCCTGCAGAGACTTCCCTTCCTGCTTCCTCCATCTACAGGTTGTGCTGTGGGTTAGCTGGCACCTGCTGACCTAGTGCCCTGTATAGGGGAAAAAAGCCCTTTCCAGCTTGGATTAATTTATTCCACTTCAGGAGGACCTACCTCAGTTGTTAAGAAGTTTGCTTGAGCAGATAAAGCAGAAGTGTTTATTGTGCTCGTCACAGTTTGATTTCTTTTTCCCCTTTTTCTTTGTGGCGGTTGGGAGTGTGTCACTTCTGATGAGCAGAGGGAACAATGGATATGTCTGAGCTCTCACAGAAGAGAAGTTGCTGCCACAGTTTGATAGCCTATCTGTAGCCTCCAGCTGTACTCCTTCAGGGTACAAGAAAGTGTTGGGGTGGAGTGTCTCACGTCCTCACAGAACTGGCAAGTGTAATGCAGAGTGAAAGTTCCTCATATCTTGGGCATCTCAAATACCAGTAGCCCACCTATTTTAGGCATCTAAACTACTCTACTAATCTGACTGTGTAAAGATCGCATGCCTGGTTCTAAAGGGATGGCAAATCTTTAACAAGGGCCTAAGTTGGAGGGTACTGTTCAGTTGTGAGGAAATAATGTTTGAAGGATTGTTTTAGAAAAACAGTAAGTAATTTTGAGAAATGTATGCTTTTGCAAATGTCTTTTTAAAAATGAAGAAATCATGGGCTGTGGATGAGCATTTCACAGTTTTGCGAGGATCTGTTGAGTTTGTAGCTTGTCAAATGAGAGCTGTGTAGAACTTGGCTCCTCATTCTGATGTGAACATCCCTTGTGTTCTTGCTAAGCCCAGAGCAGTGAATGTGCTATTTTTACAGCTTGCATGATAGTCTTAGCTCTTGTTCTATTTGGCATGCACTCCACAAGCACACCTGTTGTATTTTCAACAATTGTTCAAGTCTCTCTGGCCTTCCTGGCATATTCTGGTTCACTTACTGATCTCGTATAAACTAAACTACTGTAACCAAAGGTTGTTTGAGAACATGGTTAGAGAGGAGTTGGAAAAGTTAGGTACATCTCATTGTAGTGGTATTACTGGATTTTAGTTTCTTTTTTTCCCCCCCCCATCTAATATAGGAATGCTTTAATTCTCCATATGGAACCCAATACTTTAAGGAGTATGCAGAGAAGATCCCCGGGGAATCAACACAACACCTGTCAGAAGTTGCAAAGGAGTGCAGCATATATCTCGTTGGAGGTACTTTACTCTTAATGACCATCTCACTGGGGAAAAAATGGGCAGTGTCTATTACTGCCATTGGATCAAAATTACATAAATAATACAGTGGGGGAAATCTCTGTTCTTGCCTTTACAAAGGATCCATTCCAGAAGAGGATGGTGGAAAGCTCTATAATACATGTACTGTCTTTGGGCCTGATGGTGCTCTTCTGGCAAAGCATAGGAAGGTAAGATGGCAGAATATTGTTATTAAAGGTTTTCTCAGCAGTGTTGCATCTGTACTTAAAGGAGGTATAAATTAATAGAATCTTGCATTAATAATAAGTTGTGTACCATCACCCATGAAATTTCATGTAACTTTTATTTGGGATACGTAAACACCACGTCAAAAGGTGGTAATAAATTTGTTCTGGATAAGGATGACAAAATACTAGAAGGTGTAATCGGCTTTCCCCATATCCTGGGAAAACCGTGGTTAAGAGTGAAACCTGATCCAACTCATATATCTCTGTACCCAGGCCTAAGTCTAAAACACAGTGCCACTTGAGTGGGATCAGGATTTTCCCTCAGCTTCCTGATGGATTTTTTCCTTCTGTTATAATAAATACTGTTCTTTACATACTTTGTGCTATACATGTGATTAGTGCAGACATGCAGAGTCCAAGTTGTGCTGTCTCTGCTGTTTGTAGTAGATGTTTGCTTGCTGTCATCTTCCACCTCATCATTGCTTTGTGCTTTCTGGAAAACTGCCTCCCATTTGTAACTCCGGAGTCAGTTTCTCTTCATGGGACTGTTCTGTTCATTCTTATCCCCAGTTTTGTTCATGGGACTGTGCACACAGGGATCACTCCATGAGTGAACAGCAGCTTATTTCTTTTAAGGTTAAACCAAAAAGATAATGCAGGGTTGCTTGGAACAAATCAGGTGGTGCAGATATTAATTTATTCTGTTTGCTGATTCTACATTAGCATTGCTTACTTGATCACCTTATGCAGTTTTGTGTTGCCTTCCACCTGTCACAACACAGCAGTCTGCAAGCCCAGGAGTTGCTCATAGCCTGCTGGGTGCAGGCTTGTGCTAAGTATGAACAAATAATAAAATAAAACCAGCTCTGAGGTTAGGAAGCTCCAGTCAGGAACAACACCTTCCACTGCAAGGGAGGAATGAAGGCAGCTGCAGGCCCTCAGAGGCACCTGCGTAGCTGAAGTAATGGTATTTTCTTGAGAAATTTTACAGGAATGAGACTCAAATGTTAGAGACAAATCATTAGGTCAAGACATCTAGCTGTTTTGCATGTATTTTCAACTTTAGACATGTATATTTCTGTATAGAAGAAAATACTTTAAATCATCTTTGGGGCACCTAACAATCTTAAGAAATGTTTACTTTGGATCCTGACAAAGGAGTGGTCTAGATAACAGTAGAAAACACATGCCTAAAGAGGCTCAAATACCAAACAGAGAAATTGTTAGTAATTGTTATTAATCATAGTATAATTTCAGGTTCATTTGTTTGACATTAATGTTCCTGGGAAGATACAGTTCAAAGAGTCTGAAACACTGAGTCCAGGGAATAGTTTCTCCATGTTTGACACACGTGAGTATAAAATAAACTCTCTCTTTAAGGAGCTCTACTACAGTAACACTACAGTCACTCTGCAGTTCTCTTCCCCCTCCTCCTTTCCAGCAGTGGATTTTTAGACTATCAGATTGTGCATTGGATGACAAATATAGTTTAAGTTTGCTTCAAGTGTTTGGGTCACTTCTGAAACTTTTAAAAAGGTGGTATGGTTGCAAAAGGACAGAGGAGTATAGAGGGTTGAAACATATGTCACCCCACTTGCCTTAATTAAAGAATGGTCCTATTGATTTATTAGAGGGAAGTGATGGTATTTTTTATAGCAGTTACAGCTTGAAAATTGTTCTTATAAAACATGGTCTAGAAAAGAAAGTATCTAACAACTACAATGGTACATGCTTCATGTGAGGATGATACAATAATGGAGACAATTAACTAGATGAGGAATCCCATTCCAGCCTTCTTGAATCACCCACCTCAGATAAAAAAGCAAAATACCTACTCCTCCCCACCCCATATTGCTCAAAAGCTGACACAGTCTGTTAACTGAGCTCTCCAAAGAGTCTTGTCTGCCACAGTCACTTTCTCCTCCTTGCAATGTGCATGCTTTAAGAAAGTACATGGCTATTTTTACTCCATGAAAAGCAGGGAGTGTTTTCTTTTATTGAAAAAAAAAATTGAAAAAATTGCAGCTAAATGAGAGAGGAATATGTTACACAAAGACCTGATATAACATGATTTTGTGGAAATGACTTTTTTTAAAGGGTAGATAAGACTGCTTCTCACACTCTTTCTGTCCTCATGAGGCATGAATTCTCCCCCAGTATCGGCCAGTGCTTGTTGGACACGCATTTAAATATAGCTCCTCCTGCTGCTGCAAGCCATGTAAAATAACAGTTGGCTGGATGACTACAGGGAGTCTTGTGCTGGTTTTGTGTACTTGTGCTAGTGATATGACTTCTGTCTCTTGTTTTTTGAGAACAGCGTACTGCAAAGTGGGCCTGGGCATCTGCTATGATATGAGATTTGCTGAGATGGCTCAAATCTACGGCCAGAAAGGTGAGGCTGGGTCACCTAAGAGAGTGTGGGCAGCCCTAAGGCCAGGGCTGGGCAGGGTTGGTTCTGGGGGGTCCGTGCTGAGTGATCCCTGTGATCAGGCATTCTTACTCCTGCCCAGTAACACAAAATGCATCCTGTGGCCAGGACTCTTACTCAGATGAGTGACTTCTCTCAGGGAGTAAACCATCACTTCCTGCTCCACATGTAGTGATGGAGTTGGGGTATCCCCACCACAGCTCTTGGCTGAAGTAACCTGTTATGCATGGACAGGCTCTGTTTGGTTCCATTCTGGGCAGAGGCTGAGAAGTATGGAAAGAAATTTCACCTTGGGTTTCAGTGTGAAGGGCCACTCTAGGGTAAACCATCTTCCCCTTAATGATGCTTAGGTTCCAATTGTCTCTTAACAAAGGTTGCCAGCTGCTGATATATCCAGGGGCTTTTAACATGACAACAGGACCAGCTCATTGGGAACTCTTACAGAGGGGAAGGTAAGATCACAGCAAAAGTTTATTCCCCTGTTCTAGAGGAGTTTTGGTGCATGGAACTGAACTTTCTTGTGTTCCAAATGACACTTGTGTGTCAGAAGTGGTGCTGCAGGGCCACTCAGCCATTGGAGCTGTACCGTCCCTCAGGCCTTGCATGGGACACAAAAATTATTTTACTTGCAAGGAGAAAAGCAGGAAGTTCTTGGCCTTTACTCCCTCCTGGCCCTGCTATGCCCTTTCAATGACCCTTTCCCATGGCTTTATAAGCACCCTTCACACACAAATTGTAGAGAGAAGAGCCAGTAACCATTTGGGAAGTGCTCTAATTACAGGTAGAAATAGACTGAGATTCCTGAATCCAGTATTGTTTATTCATTTGGTCAGCTTCAATCAATTTTGCTACATCCTGAATGAACCTGTGAATTACATCATATTTTATGCACTAACTCTGGAGCCAGGTGCTACAAACTTCGCTTTCCAGGCTCTTCTTTCTCTGACCTTTGTATCATTCACAGTTTGGGCTAGTCATTTGGAGGATATATCGCTTGTTCTTCAGAGTGAATTCGTTCTCTTCTGCTTAATTAAATGGTATTATAAAAAACAATTCGTCTCACATTTTCCCTCCCTTCATCTTTCTGTGAACACAGAGCTGTTGATAATCAACTCTATGTAGCTACTGTATCTCCTGCTAGAGACGAAAAAGCATCCTATGTTGCCTGGGGACACAGCACTGTGGTAAATCCTTGGTGAGTTCAATAAAATAAAAAACACCACCTTTTCTTTGGTTAAAAAAAATATTTTAGTTGACAGTCACACTTCAGTCCTACTTTTCCATCTACTGTTAAAAGTGCAAATTCTTTGTAAAAAGCACATGAGACTTGAGCCTACATTCTCAAGATCATGATCTAAAACAGCCAAACTAAAAAAACAAGAAGTAAACTAGAACTAGTTTTGAGTATCTATTCATTTTGGTAGTAAAGCATTAGTTGAACTGCTGACCTTGTCACCTTGTCCCTGACGTTCAGTCCATTATATGCTATGCATAGGGTAATTCTCTTAAACAGCTCACACAGAACTATCTCATTTCCTCAAAGAACAACACTGCTTTGACATAAGAAAGAACAAGAAGAATGTCTTCAGCTAGAGAAGAGAGATTCTGACTTGAGCAGAAGTCACGCAGGTGCACAGGAGGTAAAAGTGACCAAATCTTCAGGCAGTTGTTTTTCTTTCAGATAAATCTACTTATAGCTCTGTTCCAGTTGTTTGCACAGTAAGAAAACTTTGTCTGTGTTGTGAGCTTTTAACTTTATGTGATGAAAGCAGTGACAGAACACTTGGGGGAGACACAGTCATGTTCAGAAGTTCATGCAGAGTAAAAGTACACTATTAAAAGCCAGCAGGGTCTTCAAAGGAGAAAGTGTTCATCTTTGCCAATGTGGTTGTTCCTTTCCCCTTGAGGTATGTTGCATGCTCACAGGCACTGATTCTCAGAGTGGCTTTTACCACAGTTCTTGATCTTTGAAAGACACTTATGTTAAGTATGTATATATCACATATAGAAAGTCCCATATATAAAGCCTGGAAGGCATTTCTATCATGCCAGAGTTATGGATTATGATGCTATTTTTAGGACAGCCCTGTCATTACAGCTGTAGGCATCAAGGGTAGGAACTCCTTTTTGTACAAACAGCAGCAACTGCACTGATGCCTTGAAACCAATGTGTTTATCCTGTGAACAAATGTGCTTAATTTTGCAGGGGTGAAGTCATAGCCAAAGCTGGGGCTGAGGAAACAGTTGTATACACAGATATAGGTAAGGGAAAAATTGTTTTGGTTTTTTCCCCACTTTTTTTCTTGAGTACAGGTTATGACACTAAGGAGAGACAGTGGCCTTACACATGCAACTACAGATGATGCAGCATTCCTCTGCCTTGTCTACTTTTGCTAGGTTAAAGCAAGAACCAGCAGCACTTGGCTGTACTGTTCTGTGTACAGTACTTTACAGCTGTACCCATCTAGTTCACTTCCTTAGGGAGAAGGTGCCACCTTAGGAAAGAGCAAAGCTGAGGCGTCCTTCAGCTCTGGCTGCTCACTTGCAGTGCCCTACCACCCCATTCTCCATCAAAGCTGCTATTTTTCCCTGTCTTATCTCAGGGCAAGTCAGGAGCTTTCTTCTTTGTCTGCTGTTCTCTTAACTATTTTCTTCTCTCCTGCAGATCTAAAGAAACTTGCAGAAATACGTCAGCAGATTCCTATTTTAAGCCAGAAGCGTTCTGATCTCTATGGTGTAGAGATGAAAAAGTGAAGCTGGGTGAAGAGGAAAGGTTCAGCTGTCACAATGGTTGTTGCCTTCATCTTTGGAAGGATTTCCTTAGTAGTTGCTCCACAACTTACTACCTAATGTGCCAGTAAAGAAACCACCACATAACAAAAAACTTGGTGTAATTCTACTATGATTGAAATGTAACTTTTGTATCTCCTCTCATACTTAAGTATTTCGTAGTATTTTACAGCTAGGATAAAGATGGAGATGAAATCAGTTCAACACAGCAGTGATTAACATTGATTTTTATGCATCATAATGTTTTAGTTACCTTCTGAGGGCTGTTTTGTAGAACACAGAAATGGAAATTTTGTTCTCTGAAACTCCTTCTCAAGTCAGCTTTAGTATTATGAATTCTTCAGTGAATTGTCAGAAAATCTAGAAGCATGATTCTTCTTACTCTGTCCTTTTTAGATGTACATGACTTAACCAAGGTCCTTGAATGCCCTACTTCTAACTTGGGAAGCTTAAAATTTAACACACTGAGCAAAACAGGCCAAACTCTGCTCTGTGCCACTCAGGACACCTCAAGAAGCTGCCAGACAGAGCTGCTCCTATAGAAGAATCTGTAACAGCTTTTGGTTCATGTGTTTTGTCTGGATCTGTGTATTAAATTTTCCTTACGACAAATCCCAATCCCGTTCATTGCTGAAGTGACAAGAGTTACTGTGTTGTTACAGTAATTCACACGTTGCCACACCTTTGCTCTCCATACTGCTCCTTATTAGAATGTCTAAGTGCCTGGAAAAGGCTGAGGGGAATCAGATTGGAAAACCTGCTGCACTAAGTCCTTCTGCCCAATGCTTGAATGCATTATTGCTACCATGGGCAGCTCCCATCCACTGCAGAGAAAACATTCCATACTGTGCTGCTTTTGCTGGAGACAAACTGCTTGTGAAAGATGGCTTTAAAATACTGCAAACCAGCCAAGCACGTTGCGCTTTTGGTTTTGGGGTTTCTTTTTTGAAGGAAGACATCTTTTAATATAAAAAGAATGTACAAATTATGCTTTTTATTCCTTGGAATGAAAAAAAGAAGCAACTTACCAGCCTTCATTGATAAACTTGCTTTTTCAGCAGCATAAAACAGCCTAAGGCTGTAAGGCTAAAAGAGATTTCAAAATACAAAAATGGGAGGGAGAGAAGGTTTTGTCGTGCTCTAGCTAACCACATTTCCCCCAAAACCATCTTACATTTTATTCATGTTCAGCAATTCTCCTCTTCCCACAGTTTTTTGGTTTTGTGGGGGTTTTGGTTTTGTTTTGGCTTTTTTCTTTAACATTTCGGCTTCTCTGCAATGAGCTTGGTGTGTGTTTTATAAACACAAACAGACACTCAGCCAAACCCCAACACATCCTTCCCCTCAAAAGCCAGATCCCACCATTCCACTCGGTGGCATTCTGTATCAGCAGGTATTTTTGGTCTGTACTTTTCACTGCATTTTGGTGTACATACTGCACTGGAACTTTTAAGAAACAAGCCACAGAGCACAAGGTGAAATGAAGGTTTATTTGTTGAAAAATAAATATTAAAAAATTAACAATTTACCATTTGAGCCAAGTCTCCTGCATTAGATTAGTGCTTCCCACATACTCAACAACCCATATTATCCATGATGGCCAGTGCTGGGCTGCAACTTCTAAGTCGTAATAACTATTTAATCTCTTTCCCTGCCCTCTCTCTACTTGTTCAACACACAGGAGTAAATAAGTACTACCTTTGGAGGATTAAAGTGGTGCAGGTCTCTCATGGGCTGACCACTTAAATCTGAGAAATGCAAAGTGCAGTCTGCAACAGGTAACAGAATCTGTGGTCTGAACTTTCCTCCCCTAGAATCCCAAATGGAGAGGATGGATGAAAACCTATTACAAGCTACTTTGGTGAACTCAGCTGAAGAGCTGACATGAGCTCAGTTCTTTTCAGCCTATCAGGACAACTCCTAAGCACCTTGTTTTAGTAGGGTCTCCCGTGTGCTGCACTCAGAAGTGATGCAAATGGGACTGTGAATTTGTGAGGCTTTCAGTGAAAAAAGTACAGTCAGTTCTTAGCCATAGTGCTTGAAGCGGCCAACACTCAACCTTTATGTTGGTAGAAAACAGGCACTTTTAGGTATCTATACGACACATATGCACCAGTATTCTGTAAGTACAGGAAACTAATCAGTAACAACCCTGAAACAGTTCCAGAATTTCAGCCTGCAAGAATTTAAATTATTTTTGAAGAAATGGCAGGGAATTGGGCAGTGTCAAGATTGCTGGGCTGGTTAAAGCTTCATCTAAGCTGCTCTTTGATAGTTTCAGAATAAGTTACAGTATACTTTTCAGAGCATGTTAGTTCCCTTTTCCCTTTCCATCTGCAGTTAGATCCTAATAATTCAAGTCACAGCTTAGAATCATGGAATATGCTGAGTTGAATATATGGCCCATCAGGATCAGTGTCCAACCCTTGGCCCTGTGCAGGACATCCCAAGAATCACACCATGTGCCTCACAGCACTGTCTCAGTGAACAGGGACCATACACGATGAGAAGTGCTAGGCAATTGCATGTAGAAGTATCCCTCTAGAGTATCCCTCTAGGATACACGGGCTTTATCCAAGTCTTCAGTACTTGCTTCCTACATAATTCCAACTTTTTTTTTTTAAATAGCAGTAATACTTGTCTTACTTCAAAGTTCACATGCACACCTGGCTTAAAATAAAACTTCAACTGTATCAGCCATTCACAAAAAGTCCCTTTCATCACAGTGATGCACCTGCATACACACAGGAAGAGGGTCACAGCTACTCAAGATTCCCAGCCCTCCTGGCTCGACTTCCTTTCCCCTGTAATCTTCAGGTCTCAAGATCATACCTCTGTAGGTGATGGAAGCAAGGAGAGATCGGATTTTTTGATTCCACATTTCCTCCTCATTGTTTCTTAAAGGTTGAAGTGAGAGAAGATGACAAGGAGGCAGTCAATTATCAGTTCTTCCTAGACTTAGAACATAAGCACAGAGCTCACCACTGCAGAGAACACCTTCATCAAAACCTGTTCTTATACATGTCAGAGAGAGATACTTGAAGGTAGTATTTATTTTTTCAGTTTACAGGTGATATGTCATTTACAAAAAAATTACAGACAATGCATCCTTTCAGTGCAGTTTCAAACTAGTTGAAGAACAGGCAAAAGTCTGTGATGATTTGGAATGCTAATAATTGACAGCACATGCTTTTTTCCCTTAATTGACTGGGTGGGGTAAAGAATGGGGTACAGATGGGGTGATGAGGAGAAAATGCCAATGTAAATAAGGCCATGCGAATAAAAACTCCTCGGAGAACAGGGCTCATCAGCCTGGCATATTTTTGTTCTCAGGTAATTGCTAAAGAGATTGGAAGTTGGAGAAGACATTTGACACTTGTTACGTTCAGTGCCCCTAGAAGCTGCCAGCACATTCCCGTATCTTCAATATCACCAGTGCTATGATTTCTGATCACCTAATGAGCTACTAAAATAATGATTAAATCTTTATCTCTACTCTCCGCCATTTGAATACTCAACTGTAGTTGCTGGGAGAAAGGAAGGTCAAGTTGAAAATGCAAGCTGCTGCTGTATGGTGGCACAACTACAGACCAAGACAGTTTGACTACAGCATCATTCATTTCTTTAAAAGGTTAAATACATTAGACAATTCACCACAAACAAATCTATGATTTCAGGATGGAAAGAAGCCCAAACTAGTGTGTCGTAAATTAAGCTACATCATTTGCATGAGATTTGTCCAGGCACATCAGTCCAGGGAAAGGCAAGATGGACTGACTGACTTCCACACCAGAAAGATCAACCCAAAGCAAGAGGGCCCTCTGTGAAGTTCCTAATGAGAGAAAAACTGTTTCATAATTTGCCCATCTGCTGTTTGCAGCACAATTGCTTCCTTTCTACGGTATTTGAAATTTTGGACAAAACAGAGTCTACAGAACAAGGAAATGAGTGCAGTTTGCAAATCCATTATTGGAAGTTTGAGCCTATGCTTTGTTCCTTATCTCACTTAATCCTGCCAAGGGGCTCTTTAAAGGAGATCATAACCCAGCAGTCTCTAGAGACTGAAGAGAATTTAGATAGTCTATCAGCTGCTACACTTATGCAAAAGCATCAGAGATTAAAAAGATTATATGCAAGCATGACCTTACCTTTTGGAGCTTGACTCCCAGCAGTGCTTTCTGTTCTTGAAAGTCTCTAAACCCTCCAGAACAATTTCCCATGACATTCAAGTAAGGACTGCTGCACAGGAATACATTCTTTCTTCCAGTAAAGTCTACACTGAAGCAGTGTTACTGACCTCCTTCCCCAGCTAACCTTTTTCCTAGCTCTCCTATGCAGTACTCTAGGGCTTTCTGGGGTGAAAATAAGGACTATCAAATTAATTCCCTAATAGCTGCCACAGGACTATTTCTAAGTAAGTTATACAGAGGATGGAAGGTGATTTAAGGGAAGATTGTGCATGCTTGCATATATTTACAGGTATCCTCTCCACATCTACTGACTTAAAAACCCCTCTATTATTAAAGTTTGAAAATTAATTTTTGCAAAATTGAAATCAACCCTCAAGGATTAATTGGATATAAAACCTATTTTACAGCACTGACTAGTATTACCTTTAAAATCAACAGGAAAAAAACCCACATGCTGTGATATTATTTGATAAAGCAAAAATCGCCCACAACATAATCACCCAAAATGAACCAGTGTGAAGTTTTTATTTGCATGGCCAAAATATGTTCCTTTGGTTCCCCTGCAACTTTATTTCCCTTAACACACTCTAAGGTTTCTGCTGCAGAAGGAACAAGATGCAGCACTGCATACTTCTTTGAACAACCACTCCCACAACACCTAAACATTTAACAGATGTAGCAAATGACAACACCACGAACGGGAAAAAACTAAGTTCCACCATTCAGCATGGTCTGCAACAGCGTCTTTAGGGCTGGCTGAAGTGGGCAACTTCACTTTGGAAGGTCATTTCCTCCTTGTTTCTTTACAGTGTTGGTGGTTTCAATCCATACTTCTTTGCAACTTCTGTCTGAGCATAGGCAGCATCACAGAGTGAGTAGAGGTGTGCCATCTCCATTTCCGATTTGGCCAGGTTGATAGCCTTGTTGAACATTTCAATGGCTTTGTCCAGATTACCTCTGAAATAAACAAAAATTTAGCCCAGTTAAGACTGCCAAAGCAATCTTGTCATCTCTAAAACATCCTTTTTCTTTCATGACTTACACTCTCCACCATTAATAATTTAAAAGGACTTTGCGAGGAACCACTACAAGAACTTGTGGTGATGCTGAGTAAACTCAGAGCTGTTACCAAGCCTAAACAGCTAGGACAGTTGTTAAACAGCCTTCCTCTTGAGAGTCCCCACAGGTGATGGTGCAGGATAAAACATTTTCCACAGGACACCAAGTTCACTACAAAGACAATGCTGGGCAACTGAATGAAGTCTCGTCTCCCCTGAAAGGACTTAGTATACAAAAGAGGAAAACTTGCACAGACAGAAGCACATTATTTAAATAGGAAATGCTCGCAAAATTTCTCATGGCAATAGTTTGTCTGTCCTTTAGAGGACTAGACATATTAAAAAGAGACCCTGTACTGTACTGTCATACTGTACTGTCAGTTACACCCAAGCCTTTGCACAGCTGCAATACAATGTTACAGAGCAGGGCATTCCTCTTTCCCCCAAGAATTGTGGAGTCCTCTTGGCTGCAGGAGAAAACAGCACAGGATTCTCAGTAGAGACAGTCCAATGTCCAAGGACGACATCAGATACACACAAAGCCAGGTAATGATTAAGGAAGTCACTTTAAATGCAGAAGGGATGTATTTAAACGTACACGGACTCCTCTACACGTTGTCCATTAAGTATGAAATTGGTGATAAGAAGTTGTCAGATCATAAATCACAATTATGCCACAGAGAACGCATGCTTTCCCTAAGAGTTACAGAACAGAAATCAGGACTTTGGGTAAGAGCTGGCCTTACAGCACACTGGGGAGAAGATCTTAGGAGCACACTGGGGAGAAGATCTTAGGATCCATGAGAAAATTTGAAGAACTACTGTAACTTCAGAAGTAACTGAGAACTCTTAACACTACAATTCAGCATTACCTTTGCACTTCAATCGTTCCCATGGTCTCATATGCAAAATCACATTTGTTATCAATTTCAATGGCCTTGCTTATGAGTTCTAATCCTTTGTCTAAATCTTGCTTCCACTGGAGCTGAAGTAAACTATAGAAGAGAGAAAATTTCAAACTGGCTTCACATACTCCTCCCCAAACCCTCATCATGGTAAGCAAAACCATCTCAAATGTATAATGTATTTTATTTCTAATGCAGGTACACAATAACTTAGTAACTTCATGACTTTTAAAAATACCTGTGTGAAAGTCACTTTCAATAAGCCACTTTACTGCTTTAATGACTCTAAAGAAAGGCAAATTTTTTCCCAAGAGGACTTGGTACATGTTGTTTTATGAAAGAAAAGACTTCAACACAAAGCTGAAACTAATAGGG